GTTGTGTTCACAAATGTATGTTGTAAAGCAATTGTAACAGGTGCTCTAGCGAACTAGTCGCCATACCCGATCGGCTTCTTTGCATGCACGAACTCTGTCAAAACCCTCTTAACGTCTGGAAGAACCGCGCAAGAAGCGCCGTCAGAAACGAAATTCGATCTAACAATGCATCAGAGAAAACCAGATTACAGTGTAGTAGCTGCTCCAAAGCCACCTGGGATGAAAAGAGCGTCAAATCCTTCCGATTTAAGCTCCGACAAGGGAGCGATTTTTCCACGACTAATACGAGCGGATTCTACCATGACATTTCTGCGAGATTAGTGAACCAAACTTGCGCACCTTTTTTCTGGAACTTGTGATCCGGTCGAATGATTTGTGACATGATCTTGCTGGATGTTTGGCGCGAAAGCGCACACATCCACACCCGCTTTACTCAAATGTATGAGCATGCTGAAGAATTAATCAATAGGATAGAATACCTAGTAGCTTCATGAATTTCGCTTCCATCAAATACTCCGCATCCGTGAAGAACCTGAGAGCACAAATTGGTAAGAAATATGATAAATTCCAGCATACCAAAGCCACTTTCTTAGGATTAGTGTGCGCACTCATTCGGTGGAAATATTGTTGGGACGAAAAATGACACCGCACCAGTCTGCACCAGGCCAACACGAAAAACATAAAGTTGAAAGCGCGCAATACGAATTTAACCCAACCAAACACGAGAAGTTTATGTTTTTGTTGATTCATTTTTTCACCTCAAAATTTTGTTTATACAACTTGCAAGGAAAGATAGGGCCAATGGCTGAGCATAATTAGCATCCAGCCTTAAATTAGGGAGGTTAGCATTTTCTCTATGTAGTTAAGACATTCAAGCGCCGTTTTAAAATACGCATGCTTGTATTCATGGCACTAAATACTTGTGTCTACTACTATTACTACTACTCAGCAGCATCTTTGTAAACAGATACCCTCCTACTACATGCTTCAACTGAGCGAAATTAATGTGCATTTTACTACTATTCCCCCACTTTAAAGAGCACTTGCATCGTTGATGCGCACCCTACGAAGGCGTGCGTGTCTGTAAAACTCTAAGTTTACCTACTAGCCAAAAGGCATTATTTTGGGCTGATTACTCGCATAATGGTAAAACAGGAAGTGTCGGGTCCATGGCTTGGCTCGAATACCCGCCATGAGTAAAATACAGCACAAAACAAAAAATAACCAACAAGATTCTGGTGGTCACGTAAGCGGAGCATTACTATATAATTTTAGGGATCTTTATTTGGCAGAAAAAAACAATATTTTTGCGTGACACTTGTGCTTATGTGAAGAATATGTATGGCGATTGCCTAATATGGGGGCAAGAAGAGCACTAAAGTTGCCCCAAGGCTTTACATCAACGAAGTATTTAGAATTCATGCCAAAATTAAACGTACCCACTGTTACAAGGAAAAATGAGCTACAATGAAACTGACAGATTACATTTGGTCATATTAGTAGCTTTAGCTGGGTCTTGATTTACCTTCAGTTGAAAAGTAGGAATCATATTGTCAATGTTTATAAATAGCGTCAGGATGCAGATGCTGTAATACTGTTCAAAGTTGGTGGTATAACATGATGATCTAAAACAAACACATTAACTTTAACTGAAAACCTACATTCTGAGCGAATAGGATAATGCACCTAGGCTGGGCCACTGGACCGGGCAATGCGAACTTGGGCAAGATGAATGCCAAGAAAAACTCCAGACATAGGCTTTCACATGCAAGGAGTATTATAAACGGTTGTATTAAATGTGTCTTGCTCTTCACTAGTAAGGCTATGGTTAGGTATCGCCCCGGTACAACATTAAGAACGGGCGAAGGCTTCCCATATTACTTATCCCGCCATCTTTTCTCCTTCCAATTGAGTACTCATAAGTGGGATTAATTCTGAGAATCCCGAAAGTGAGAGTCAGGTGACAGTTGTCTGGCCCTATAACGCATGGGCTAGAATTTGGACAACGCTCAAGCCTTATTTCTTTGCCAACCCTATAAGACACGCATTCAGCCCGCTTCATATCCACTTCCGCACAGTAAGAAGAATTTAATTTCGTAAATGACAATTACGCATGTAAGCAGAAATTGAAATGGAAGCAGCAAGGCCCTAGCTGGAGTTAAATATGAAAGATAGGTTGTATTATTATAGTATAGCGTGTAAGCAACTTAGCAAACCCAGATTTTTATTTTGCATTTCAAGGACAAAAAATTTGTTTCTTTTTGAAATAA